CTCAGGGATGAACCTGTCAGCCGACGTCACCTAGTTGAGGACTCGGTTCTCCTGGATGAAGCCAAGCCCAAAAGACAATGCAAGTCAGGTCACTCTTCCCTCATGATGCGTTTTCTAAAGTAGTAAGTTTCCTCAAGGCCAATGCTAACATATTTGCTTGGCCTGTCACTAAAATATCAGGAATTGACCCTTCGGTCATGACTCATAAACTAAGCGTGGACCCAAGCTATAGGCCAGTTTGGCAAAAGAAGAGGAACTTTGTACTAGGACATTGGAAAGTTATTGGAGAGGAGGTGGACAAGTTACTTAATGCTGATTTCATCAAAGATGTACACTATCCTAAATGGCAATCTAACATAATCATGGTTAAAAAATCTAATGGGAAATGGCGAATATGTATTGACTTCACAGATCTCAACAAGACATCTCCCAAAGATAACTTTCCTTTACCAAGAATAGATCATTTGATTAACGCCACGACAGGATACAAGTTGTTGAGTTTTATGGATGCCTTTTTAGGCTATAATCAAATACGAATGCACCCAGGCAATGAGGAGAATACGTCATTCATTACTGAGCATGTTACTTACTATTATAGAGTGATGCCTTTTGGATTAAAGAATGCTAGGGCAACATACCAAAGGCTTGTGAACAAATTAAAGAACAGATTGGGCAGAACGTTGAAGCCTAAGTTGATAACAATGTTGTGAAGAGCCTCAAGGCGATCCAACACATTGCCAACCTGGATGAGACGTTTGGAGTGAACCTTCAGGGTCACCTTAGGGAAATTTCTTGGCTTTGTGGTCACCCAATGAGGCATAGAAGCCATCCCTGAGAAAATACATTCCATACTAGACATGTAGCCCCCTTGGTCAATCAAAGAGACCTAGGAGCTCATCGGCTGAGTTGCATCTCTCAGCTGATTCATGTCCAAATCGTCCAAAGGTGTATACCTTTCTTCCGGGTCATCAAGAAGCTAAAAGACTTTCAATAGATGGAGGATTGTCAAAAAGCCTTTGAAGAATTAAAAGTGTACCTCGCCTCACCACCACTACTCACGCAGCCTATTCCAGGGGAAACCTTACTCCTATATCTTTTAGTCGGGGATGAGGCGGTTAGTTTGGTGCTGGTCTGAGAGAACGGAGGATTGCAAAAACCGGTATACTATGTCAGTAAGGTCCTGCACGATGTCGAGACCAGATACCTAGATGTGGAAAAGACAAACTTTGCATTAGTGATTTCTACCAGGAAGTTGAGACCTTGTTTTCAAGCCCACACCATCACAATATCAACTGACCAACCCCTTAAGAAAGTACTGTCAAAGCTAGAGACCTCGGATCAACTGGCTAAATGGGCCATAGAACTATCAAAATTTGATATGCACTACCAGTTGAAACCTACAATAAAGACATAAGCACTAGCAGACTTCCTAGTCGAGTGTACCTTCGACTAAAGCCATATTTCTAACCAAGAGGCACGACCCCCTTGGACTTTGTATGTTGACGGATCCTCTAACACCAGGGGGAGTAGAACTGGCCTCATCCTCTTAACTCTAGATAACAACAAATTGGAGTATGCACTTCGGTTTGGTTTTCTCGCCTCAAGTAATGAAGCTGAGTACAAAGCCTTACTTCCCAATCTCTAGCTGGCTAGAGACCTCAGAGCTGAGCACATTGAAGTTTTCAGCAACTCAAATCTAATTGTAAATCAAGTAAACAGAGAGTACAAGGCCATAGAACCCAACATGACCAAGTACCTGAGTAAATTGCAGGACCTAGTCAGGCAGTTCCAACACTTCATTCTGCATTAGGTACCCTCAGCCGAGAACTCCCAAGCCGATGCCCTTTCCATGTTGGCTAGCTCCTCGGGGTCAGCCCTTGGCCACCCAGTACATATAGAAAATTTGGCATGAGCTAGTATAGAGGAGAAGCATGTGTGTTCCGTTGAAGCTGAACCTTGCTGGATGGACCCTATACACATTTATTTGCAACACAAATAGCTACCATAAGACAATAACGAAGCAAGGAGGGTCAAATGGTAGTCGATATGGTATGTAATATTGGAGGGCAAGTTGTACAAAAGATCCTTCACCTTGCCCTATCTCAGATGCATTTGTCGTGATGAAGGGGGATATGTATTAAGAGAAATTCACRAAGGCATCTGCAGCAATCACCTTGGAGGAAGGGCCTTGGCACAAAAAGCATTAAGACAAGGGTACTTCTAGCCGTCCATCCAGAAAGACGCCATTGAATTGGTACAGAAATGTGATCGATGCCAACGACACTCCAATATTCTCCATCGGCCAGTAACGACCCTTTTGGCCCTCAACAGTCCTTGGCCTTTTGCAAAGTGGGGGGTGGATATTCGTTGGACCCTTCCCTCCATCCATAGTGAATAGAAGTCACCTGATTGTAGCAATTGACTACTTTACAAAATGGGTAGAAGTCGAAGCCTTGGCAACCATCACAACACGAACAATCCAAAGCTTCTTCTAGAAGAATATCGTATGTCGTTTCGGCATTCTACACATTCTTGTCACTCACAATGGTCACCAATTCAATGATTCTAAGTTTAGAGAGTGGTGTAGAAGTCTGGGAATAAGGCAGCAATACCCCTTGGTTTGTTGTCCTCAAACCAATTGATTGGCTGAGGTCACCAATAGAACCATCTTAGATGACTTGAAAACTAGACTAGACAAAGCCAAAGGTCTTTGGGCAAAATAACTATCTAGTGTACTATTGGTGTACCGAAGAACACCTCAAACGGCCATTGGAGAAACTCCCTTCAACCTAACATACARAACGAAAGCTATGATTCCAACAGAGACCAGCTAGCCGACGCTTTGAATAGAAGCATACAATGTAGCCAACAACGATGAAGGGTTAAGAAATATCCTAGGCCTACTAGAAGGTGTTCGAGAACAAGCTCAAATTAGGGTCATCGCCTAACAACAAAGGATAGCAAGATACTACAATTCTTAGGTCAGGGAGTGTCATTTCAAAGAAGGAGACCCTGTCCTCAGGAAAGTCATTGTCCCTAAGCCTGGCATCGAAAAACTTGGCCCAAATTAGGAAGGGCCCAATAGAATCAAGCAAGTGGTGGGACCTAGTACCTTTCGTCTATAATATTTAAGTGGAAGACCAATACCTCGTACCTATAACTCGGAGAACCTCCGTATGTACTACCAAGAACCAAGTTGTACATGGAAATGAGTTAATGGAAAATTGCAAGTTTCTTTTTGTTTACTTAAGTGATTCTAGTGTGTAMACACTCTTGCCTCCTCAATTGTCAGAATCCCTTGGCTAAATAACCTTGTGAAGGTTTTACATCTCGAAGGCCTCAATTTGGAGCATACAATCATTTACTAGGTTATACATCCAACAGACCTCGGCCCAGGACATACAACCTCGTGTAGGTAAGATGCCCAATATGCCCCTTCTAGCATGGGAGGAGCCCATAGGACTTCAATGCTACTCGTACTTAGTAACTCGTGATTAACAACCTCAACCRTAAAAAACCATGGTGAAACACTTCAGCCAAAGGGAAAAAGAGCCAAAATGAACTACTTGCTTAGTTGAGTGCGGAGAATAAACATGCACTAAACAATGAAGGAATTTTTTACACAACAGAAAGATATCATTCGCATTCATARCAATCCTTTACAAAAATGCCCTTAAGGAGGGATCATCCCCCATACAAAAAAAAAAGAAGAGAGAGAAGAAATAATCACAAAGTAAAGAAAACTTGTAAGGGTACATAGACCCAAGCAATAGAAAATGAAGTCCAACTACTGGGCATCATCCCTAGTACTCTCCTCGGCAATCACCCCTTGTCCATTGGCTTGAAGAGCGATGTCACTGCCCTAGTCCCCGGCCACGACCTCCACTGGCTATTAGGCCTCAAGGAAAGGGTCCATCTGATTGATGTCAAAGTTGGGGAAGACTTTCAACACCTAGATCTTGCAAATCTTGAAGCCCTCTAGGTAGGCATGAGAAGCGAAGCGGGCCAAGTCTCCCTTGTAATCATCCGAGGCCTTATAGTCAGCTATGGCTTATGGAGAGGATTCCTCAAGTTGCCACTCTAATGAGCTAATGGAAGACAGTAATTCCTTCACCAACTCCTTCTTCGCCGAAATCTTGGCCTCARCGTTCTTCCACCGCTCATGTTCCTTGCGAATTCTCCCCTCAACCGCCTCTTGCCTTAACTGCGCTTCGATCACCTGACACTTGAGCCAATTGATCTCCTCTTGTGATTGGAGAAGCTGTTGAATCAAGACCCCCACTTGGAGTTTTTTGGTGGCATGCGGATCACACACACTTTCGATTGGTCGTTCCCTCTTCTAGTTGCCTTCAGGGGGGGGTACCCTCAGCCCCTCCCTTTTTTGTGGTTTTCTTCTTTACGGCTGCCTCGGCTAACGATACCGCCTTCATGTTACTCTCCATATCTACAAAAAAAATGCACTAACAAGATATTAGAGAAGTTTGTCAATGCTGAATCTTAGCCATAACTAGCAAGCAACAAGAGTGTCCATATCAAAGCGGGCAGGATTAAGGCCAGCCTTCACCAAGGGTCTGGCATGAATCATTTTGCTCAATTGAAGCTGATTCATCACGACCTTTTTCTCGTCACTGCTATGCTATCTGGCACGACCCTCTCGACGAGCATATTTGAGCACCCCAGTAGGTTTGGAAGGACCAATCATCAAGACAAATGATAAAGAAGAATTTCTTCTTCAATTATGAACGGATATGGGTTGTCCACTACTTTTCCTCGTCGACCGATTGATCAAGATCAAAGCAAAGTCTCTACGACGACTCCGGACGTGTACTTTTGAAGTGGTAGTATAGCGCTGAATATAAAAATCACGTGTATTTTTGAAGGACATTTTTGGGAACTGCATCAAACTTGCCACGTGTCAAATCAGAGGTCCTTCGTTTCAACCGTCCGATGGGTCCAAGGTMGAGAAAGAAAAGGATAAGGTGATCGGAGCCCAATCCCTCTTCGTTCATCTACTCGAAGGCCAGAACGGAAGAAAAAGAAAGGAGAAAGTAGAGGAAGAACTGAAGAAGAAATGGCTCAGGCACTGACTCTGCCCGTCGCACCTTCACTTTCATTGCTCTGCAAGGGAGGAAATCCTTCTGCTTCTCTCTCCAGAGCTGTTTATTTCCCCAATTCAGCCCCTCCAAAGGTACCCATTTCTTCTTCCTCGGAGCTTGTTTGTTTGTCCATGTTTTTTAGATTTTTTTCTTCAATTCTTTGCAGTATCGTGGTCTGAACATCCAATGCGCTCGTGTTGGAGGAGTTGAGATCCCAAACAACAAGCGAATCGAGTACTCTCTTCAGTACATTTACGGCATAGGCCGCACCAGAGCTCGCCAAATTCTCTGCGACCTTAACATGGAGAACAAGATCACCAAGGACTTCACAGAGGAAGAACTGACCACCCTTCGTGAAGAAGTCTCCAAGTACGAGATTGAAGGTGACCTGGTAATGCTCTCCTTCTTCTGTTTCATCTCTTGTGTCTGCCCTCTTTCTGGGTTTTCGGCTTATTTCTCAAATGGGTTTCTGGTTTTGGTGTTCCAGAGGCGTTTCAATGCTCTCAGAATTAGGAGGTTGATAGAGATTCAATGCTACAGAGGGACGAGGCATCAGAAAGGGTTGCCTTGCAGAGGACAGCACACGAAGAACAACTGTCGGACGCTCAAGGGTAAGAGGGTTGCGATTGCAGGAAAGAAGAAAGCCCCTCGTTGAGAACTCGGTTGTGTTTTTAATCCTTCAATTTATTTGAATTTCTGGCGCATTTTAGTGTTTTGTAGTATGGATTCAATTGTATTTAGTAAATTCAATGCCTTTTGATCTTCACAACTGTGTTTTCTTTCCTGATATGCATTAATTTTCTCCCTTCATGAGGTCGTATGAAGTTGGAGTCAGATAAGTGCTTGAAATAATTTACTTTTTTTTAGCTGAATCTGTTTGAAACTCAAAGTGGCATCTTCAGACCATTGTTCATTGTGATCTTGGGCAGCCTGAGCGCTTGCTTATAAGCCAATTCTGTGCTTTCATCTCATAATGCTCAATATATTATCAATGTCTCTTCAGAGGAGAGAACTGCAGCAGTGAATAAAACAAGACCAAATCCCCAAAAAAAGAAAAAAGAAACAAAATCAAATCTGAAGCAAAAATAAACCAGAATTTACACTGTCTATTTGTACTCTCATACATTTACACCACTGCAAATAAAATTCCCACGGCAAACAAACTGAGCCTTGGTGACAATCCCAACTATAAATGGTATGCTTCAGGAAGTTATTGATCAATAACTGACTGTTGAAACACTTACATTCTCCATAWTTTTTTTTTTTTATCGTCCTAATCTTGCTTCATTGCCTATGCTGTTTTCCAAATAACCCAGTTTATAGGCAGACAGTTTATCATCTGCTTTATTGCATTCAACACTCTTCAAACATAAAAATAAACACAGGAAGGCCTACAACCATGTTTCACAAGCATTTTCAGATACATCAGTCAATATTTTGGCCTATAATTAGGCCAGACTATTTTTTTTTTTGGCTATTCAAATGGAAAGATTTTTACCACTGTCTTTAGGGATAGACAATATGGATCTGCCTTTATTGCCAACTTGAAATAGCTACTGTCATTTACTTATTTGTAAAATTTAAGCATTTAATGGATCTATTCCAGAGATATTTTACATATAATCAGTTAACCACCATTGTCTCTGTATTTTTAAGACTTCTGAATTGGTCTGCATGAACATCATACACTAGGTCTATGTTTGGTTTGATAGAAAGTAAGAGAAACAGAAAGTTGGGGGAAAGTTCTTGAGGGCTTTCTGTTTCTCTCTTGGTTCCTGTCAAACCAAATACATCCCAAGCAAATTAATATACATGAGAACATGGTTAGGAAACATTAAGTTCTTGATTCTCAACCTCAACGGCAGTTTCACTTGGTCAAGCTCAAGCATTATTGTTATGATTACAGACAGTCCTTTTATGAAATAATTCTTGCCATACCTACTCAAGTGGCCATAGAAGGATATAGCCTTCAAAAATGGAGTCTAGCCATAGGCTCATATAGCTACAGCTTTCTCTGTGATTGTACTCATGCCAGTGGCTCCACCATGTTATGGTTTTCGTGGAACATATTCTAAGTTTGCTATGATTTTTTGGCACAAGTATACTAGTATAGTACTCCTAAGGCACTATAACTTTGTCCCCAAATATATACTAACGTTGAAGCTAATCCCCAATCTAAAGCCATTCCAAGCTAATCCTCAATCTAAGAAGTGAGAACAAAATGAAGAATTTGTGCCAATCTAAAGCCATTCCAAGCTAACCCAACCTGATGCAACCTTCAGTTAGTTGGGTTAGGGTTGAGGAGTTGGATTGAATTGGGTTAGGATTGATTGCATTTGACGGAATGTCAAATTGGGTTAGGATTGGGGATGAGGGTTCAACACTTCAATCTGACCTAACCCGGCTTGACTTTCACTGTTTCACATCTAATGTCGAGGGATACAACTAATATGATGTATGTGGAATGCAGAAATTTGATGAAAATGGCTGGGTTTCTACTTGCAAGAATCCCCTAGCTGTGTAGGAAAAACAGGTATTGACTCGGCCTAGTAAATGGGTTGAATCTTACCTTGTTGAAGTGTACTTGTGACAGCAAACTCTGAAGTGCCAAGACTCATCTGATTCAATTTTGATGTATTTTGTTTTGGAACTAGTGGGGATCCGTGCATCTTAAAGATGGGGTTGTTTATCAAACATCTAAGAGTATACAATTGTTTTACATAATAATTAATAATCATTTATATTTTATATAATAATTAATAATCATTTATATTTTTAATAATTTTTTTACAATACAAAAATAACAATAATTAATTTTAGATGGGGTTGTTTATCAAACTTAGGGATGACAATTTTCCTCATTTCCCCGATCCTTGTGGGGATCTGCCCCGAATGGGACAGGGATGGGGATGATTTCCCCCCGCGGGACGGAGATGGGGACATTTTCATCCCTGTTGGTGGGGGCGGTGTGGGGATAGGGAGAACACTCCCTACCCTGCGTGGACCTCGATCCCCGCCCCATGGGATCCCCACTAATATATGTATATATACACATACATTTATATATGTATATATGTACACATATGTCTATATGTTAATATTTTTAAAAATATGGTTGAATATGTTTGAATTTGTTCTAATAGGATTGTGAATTTTAATTATTTTATTTTTATTTTTTAAATAAAATAAAAAACAAAAACATAAAGGTTGACATTATAAAGAATCATGGGGAGTGGGGATCCCCATGGAGACGGAGATGTGGACGTGGATGGAGATTTTCGCGGGGACGGAGATGGGGAGAGGCTCCTCATCCCCACCCCGCCCAATTGCCATTAAGAATTAAACTAATGAAACCAACCAACCTGATTTCTAGTATTTTCAGTCGGCTTTGGTTCAACAATTTTCCAACCTGACTGGGTTGGATCATTTTCACTTTGGTCATTTGTAAACTGACTAAAATCGAACGACCCTACCATAGATATATATTAATGTTTTATATTTTAAATATATTTTTTTAATATGGTAAAGTGGAAATTTTTCAATATTTCTTAGGTTAAAATAGTTTATATCATAAATTTAAATTTTAAACTTATTTTTTAATAATGTCATATAAGAGTATACAATTGTTTTAAAACAATTGCATACAACTTTTTTTTTTTATTTTGAACTGATTGACCAAACAGAAATTTGACCCAAACCGATATAATCTGAGTGACCAACCCCCCAACCTATCCATGTCGATTTGGTTGGCCAAACAACCTACAATTGTACCGAACCAACCTAAAGATTAAGTTTTTAAAGTTATTATTAATAAACAATAATTTTGTTGAAAGTTATTTTCTAGAATTATTAATTGGTATAAATGAAATTAGTTATTTACAATATTATTTATTTATTGAAATAATATCATTATTTAAATTTTAAAATATTAATTTTAATCTTTTTTTATTTAAGATATTTAGTTATTGAAATGTTTAAATAATATTTCATTTCTAATGTTAGATTTTTATTATTTGAATAACATTTAGATTGAATAATCAAGAAAATCATAATTTATACTGTTTGTACATAATTTCATGATGAATTTTGTAAAAATATATAATTATTAATAATATGAATATTATTAAATCGATTATAATTATTTTTTGTCTTTTTAATAAATATTTTAAAGTTATTACATAATTTTGTTAGAATATTTAAATAATTCTTAAATTTTTTAATTCAAATTTTCTTTAGAGATAACTTAGGAGAAAGTTAGGGATAGTGGGGGAGGTTGTTTAGGAGAAATTTTAGGATATTAGATTATTTAGATTATTGGAACCTGTGAGAGAGAGAGAGAGATTTCAGGAAGATTTTTGGGGAAAGTAGAGTTTCTAATTGATAATTTCAAAAATGACATGGATTAAAAAAATTTTAAAAAAATAAAAAAAAGAATAATTGGTAGTTTCTTATCCCAGCAACCATTTCATGCAACTACTGTATTCTTCGCAGACATAATGGTATCTATGCAAGTCTCTCTCTCTCAACAATTTTATTTGTATTTGGCTCCTTGAGGCCACTAGGCTCAACAACTGTGTAGATTATCATAAGAAGATTMAAWGTAACATAGCCACATTTACCAACCTTCATAACAAAGTGTAGGTTTTGTTAGATGCACGGAATGGATTTAGGCACTCAATGTTACATGTCTTCACTGTGATCAATAGCCAATGCCAGTGATTTAAACATGCATTGATGGACCAAATGTTTGTTTGGTCATACACTACAATGGTAAAATCACWAGTTTGGAGACACAAATATGAGTCTGACAGTGGCCATTTTGTGCTTAAAAATGCCAAAGTTTAGGTCCCTAACCAGTCGACTTCTACCAAGAGCCCAGATAGCAGTTAACAGTGTCTAGTTCCAAACATTTCACTGTGAATTGATACAAATTCAATTTGCTAGATGGTCTTAGGCCCTATATCTTAGACATCCAGCCTGCAGAAATTGGATAAGCTCATAAAACTACATTGTCTGCATTTCACATTTTTTATTATGAGTGGAAATGGAAATTGATTTCTGATTTTTATTATGAAATGGAAATGGAAACTTTTATTGTCAAAATTTTGTATCGATAAACCACAAACGTTTCTAGTAGAAGCAGCAATGATACCAAATACAACCCAAGACTCTTTAAGGATCTAAGATCCCCACAAATCATCAGAATTTGCATCTTTAAAATTTCTTACATTTTGGGATTTTGTCTCTCATTTAATTAATTGGTTCCAGACCTGTGGTATGAAACATGGGCACACCAGTGATCAAATAAAAAGCAAATCAGTCTGGTGTTTTGAATTTAAATCAACAGAACCTCGGTGTTTCTTTTGGGTTTGGGGGAGGGGTTGCAAGGAAGTGCTGCAAAAAATTTTAAATATTTCACATATTACTTAAATAATTTTACTTAAAATATTACTAACTACTATTATGCAAAATCTTACAAACTTTACTATTAGTTAAATATGTAAAATTACTTACATATTTAAAATTTTACTTAACTACTATTTTAAATATTACTATCACATATGTAAAATTTAAATTACATATTACTAACTACTATTTAAAATTTTAAGTAAAATTTAAATATGTGATTTTAAGTAAATTTTAAATATTACTTAAATATGTAAAATATTTAAAATTTTAATTAGTAGTTAGTAATTTTAAATATTTTACATATTTTAAACATGTAATATTACTTAAATAGTAGTCAGTAATATTTAAATATTACTAAAAATTTTAAATAATTTACATATTACTTAAATATATAAATAACAAAATATTTAACATGAAAAATTTTTAAATAGTTAAAATAATGAAATTATGTAAAAAATTAAAA